ACAAGGTCTTGCTAAATTGGCCAGGCTGGCCTCAAACTTGCAATCCTTCTGCCTCAGCCTCCTGAACAGCTGGGAACCGCAGGTGTGAGCCACCACACCCACCTAACAGCCAACATTTGGAATAGAAATCATGGAGCTTTCAGAGGTGGGGAGCCGTGTGGGCAGAGGGACCTGTGGAGGTTCACTGAAGGGCAGTGCCTGGGGGTGGGGAGAGGGCCCTGAAAGGGGAATCGAGTCAGGGCCCTGAAACCACAGGCCCCACTCACCAGGCCTGGCCAACCTGTGCGGGCAGAGAGCCTCAGGAGTAATGACCATGGAAGCTCGGGCAGATGGCAGCAGGTGAGGTGGCACCCACAGTGGTTGCCAGCAGGGAGCAGAAGCCCTAGGGCTGTGGAGCTGGGATCCTGTCTGCAGCAAGTCTGGGGGGCAGAGGCCCTGGGGTTCCCTTTTGCCTGTGCCCAGCAGCTCTCTCCTGGATCAGGGGCGTGGCACAGCAGGGTGGGAGTCAGATGGAGACCCGGTGCTTGGACAGTCACACATTGAGCGTGCAGCCAGCCTGAGAAAACCTGGGAAAGAAGACATGAAATCCAGAAGCTGTGCTCAGAGCCACGCAGCTGCTGCCCGGGCAGTTTTGCTACCAAATTATCCCTGCTATGCAAATCCCTCCCCGGAGTGGTTCCAGCTGTGCTGGGGACCTTGGTGTGCACATTTGCTTCCCTCCTCCGATTCTGCTCACCGGGGCCTCCAGGGCCCATCTGCTGTCCCCAGGCCGGGAGGAGTTGCTGCTCCCTGGGGACAGAGATCAAGGGGTGTTGGCTCTGCTGAAAGGGGGGCTTGTGGGTGGGGCCCACCTTCCTCCTGAGGAAACCTGGCTATGAGGGGCGTTTCCAGAGCACTAGCTGAGGTCCAGGGCGGGTGCAGAGCCCCGAGAGGTTGGAGGCCACCTCCATCCACCCGGGTGACCTTTCCAGCTGATCACTGTTTTGTGTGTGATAGTGGAGATTTGTTTTTGTTTTTGTTTTTGGTAGTAGTGGGGATTGAATCCAGGATCTTCGCACTGAGCTCCATTCCCAGCCCCCTCCCTTTTATTTATTTTCAATTTTGAGATGGGGTCTCTTGCTGAGACACTTGGTGGCCCAGGTTGGGCTTGAACCTGCCGCCCTCCTTAGAGCTCACTGGGTCTAATCATCCTAAGTAGATGATTGGACATTCGGTGTTTAGTGAGCCCCGACGAGGTTCCAGCTACTCTTCCTGGCACTGAGGGAGTAGCTGTGCATTTTTAAAAATCCCTGCTCTTGGGGATTGGACCCAGAGACAGAAAGAAAGCCCAGCCCTCTCCTCTCGCTGAGCTCCTCTCCGACTCCTCTCCCCAGCAGCACAGCGGCTCTGCTTCAGGCTCCTCTCCCTTAGGACACTAGGACCCGGGCCTAGTGTCCTTCCTTCCCGAGAGGACAGCTCGTTGCTCTTCACCTCTGGTGGCTCCCGGGCCCTGCCCTGCTCAGACTCGTCGCTCTCTCCCTTCGGTGTGCATCGCCTCTGTGTCCCTCCTCCAGTGGCTTCCCAGCAGACTCAACTACAGCTGTCAGACTTCTTCCCGGAGGCCTCATCCTGCCATGCCCTTCGGATCCCAGTCATTCTGCAGGTCCTTGGTGGCCTGGACCTTCTTCCCTGGCCCCCCGAGCCCCCAGTGTATCCCAGCACAGAGGACAATCAAGGCAAATGCCAAGCGGTGTCCGGGGTGTGGGGCTGGGGACACAGGGGGACACGGGGTGTCACAGCTCTGGGCAGGTCTTATGCTCAGTGTGCCCTTGCTGCGACTGCATCTTCAGGCCCCTCGCTATCGGGTTAGAGTCAGGGTTTAGGGGTCCCCTCTCCCCGCTTCTCTTTGCCCTGCAATGCCCCCTGCTCACCCAGTCTCATCTCTCACCTTGCTTCCTCCCTCTCTTTCCAGGCGGAGTTCCCATCCTGCTTCCTCCTCTCCCCTGCGGGGCTGGAGGGACCTGGACACCCCAGACACGGGGTTTGTGGTCCTGTGAGCCCTCTGGGTCTCTCTAGGAAGGCGCATCCGGTGTGAGCCCCAGGGAGGGTGGCTGCCAGCCAGGGCGAGGCTGGGAGGCTGTCGTGGGACTTGGGGTGGGGTGATGAGGACCTGGCCTGGCTCAGACTGTGGTGAAGGCAGGTTTGGTGGGGCTGAGACCCTATGTGGCTCATAGATCAAACCCTGCTCACCCCGGAGAGACTGACGAGGCAGCTGGCAGAGAGCAGGACCTGAGCCCACTTCTGCCCCTGCCCGCAGGGGCTCCTCACTTGGGACCCTGAGCTGCAGCTGGGCCTGCTGTGGTGGTCTCTGTGAGATGGGACACGGCCCCGGCTGCCCAGGGGACGACTGCAGGACAATCGGTGCCACCTGGTCTCAGCTCCCCTGGTTGTCATGGCTGGGACAAGCAGATGAGGAGAGGCTGGGCCACCTCGGGCCAGCAGGGACGTTGGAACAGCCCCACCCCATTCTCAGTGCCCCATACCCACTGAGGATTAACCGTGTCAGCCGTGACTGTCCCGTGTCAGGGACAAGGAACCTGGCACTCAGAGACACCAGGCCACATGTCCACTGTCACACAGCACAGCTGCAGCACCTGGACGAGGCTGGGGCTGTGGAGCGTCTCATGCTGTGGCTGTTTTGAGCCAAAGGGAAATCCCTTTCTACCCACTCAGAGGGATGCCTGGCAGCAGAGAGAAGACCACACTGCCTACGTGGGCACCATGCACAGAAGGGGCCTGAAGTTTCCAGCATGATGGGCGAGGCAGAGGCCCTGCTTTGCCTGCCGGAACTTCCTCTGAGTCTGGGGCCCATTGCTCAAGGCTGGGCGCCTCGGTGAGAGGCAGAGGCCATCACCCAGGACTCAGCTGGTGGCACGGGCCGAGTTTTGCTTTTTTGAGAACCTGACTGCTCTCAGTGAGAACGCAAGGTATCACCAGGACTCACAGAACTGCCAGGGCGTTTGAAGGAAACATGATGAGTTCACTGGAAAAGGCATCAGGGGCCTTTGGGCTCCTGCTCCCAATCCTGACGTCTGGCTCCCGGCCCCCACCTCACACTCGAGTGTAAACACAGGTGTACACTGCCTTCGGGAGGAGCAGGGGCCTGGCTGCTGTCCCCAGCACTCTCTCAGGAGCGGGAGCAAGGCTGTGAACATCACAGCTGCTGTGGAGATGATTCTGAGGGCCCTTAGCTCCATGGCAGCGAAGTGGAAGAACGGAAGTCTAGCGGCTTGGCAGGAGTTCGGGACCTTGCCCTCCTGTGCCTCCCTGTGACGCTGGTCTCCACCTTGAGCCTGCAGTGTCCTCTCTTAGGACGCTTCCAGGGCATGTTTATTAGGCTCCTAGGACAACCAAGCCTCAAGGCTGCAATATATACATATATGTATTTCAGTACTGGGGATTGAACCCAGGGCCTTTGCACTGAACTACACCCCTCATTCCTTTTTATTTCGAGTCAGAGTCTCGTTAAGTCACTTAGTTGCCCAGGCTGGGCTTGAACTTGCAATCCTCCTGCCTCAGCCTCCCACAGTGCTGGGATGACAGGTGTGTGCCCATGTTTGCAGGTCCCCCTGGGGTACACTGCCTGGGCCTGATGTGAAATTCAGTACCCTCTATTCACCTAAATTTCAGCTCCTTTGGACCCACCATATAAACTGAGCCACCACACCGTGCTTTCTAGGTCTGGACACAGGCGAGGTGTGGATGTTTATCTGAAAGAGATGAAGGATTTTCATCCCAGAGTGGTCTGCAGCAGTGCAAGTCCACAGCAGAGGGAGGAGGACAGGCGTCATGCTGCACCTGGCCCTGGCATGGGCAGTGGTGACACTGGAAGGTGCAGCTCCCTGGGGGACTCTGTCCCAAGCCCCCTGCAGCAGCCCAGGTCACTCACGCTGTCCTGGGTAGGGACTGAGTGGGAACTGACACATCCCGCCCACCACCCTCTGGTTTCCCACCCTCAGCACTGTGCCTCAATGTCCCTAGCTCCTTGAGGTCACAGATGGGGGGTGACCGAGGTACTGAGTGGAATGGGGTCCCCACTGGAGACCACTCCCCAGAAGCAGCTGAGTACATACCAGGTGTGACGGAACCGCACCAAAACGTGTAAAGTGAAGAAATCTGCCATGGCGAGAGACACTGCCTGGAATCCCAGAGTACAAGCATCGTAGTGCAAAAACAAAACCAAGGAACACACACACACACACACACACACACACACACACATGCAAACCTCCATTAAATGAACTCACAACTCCTTGCCTGGTAGCTTCCTTTCTTCACGTAGAGGCTAAGGTTCTATTATGTGGCTGATTGTAACTGGAGGTGGACCATGCTGGTACACTAGCACCTCGGTTCATGAATGCTTTTGTTTGCAGACAACTTGGTTTGCAAACAAAAGCTTTTGGTAAAATTTCATATTTGTTTGCAAATTCTACATTCAGTGACAAACACATATACGGCCTTCTTTCCCACACAAACAAACATGGCCATCTTTTCCAAAATCATGGAACAAGTTAAGTTCCTGATCTGAGGTGCCACTGCATCTGAAGCAGCTAGGCTGGGATGTGCCTTCTGCTGGGAATGCAAAGAGCACGTGACCATGCTCTGTGGCCCTTTCATCAGGATAATCACAGGTCTGCACAAATCACAGAGGCTGCCCCAGCTACCAATCACAGAAGGGGCCTGGGGTTGGGAGCATGGATCCAGGTTCTCTCCGGGAAGCAGGGTGACAGGCAGGAGACAGGAAAGCCAACCTGCTCCTGGCAACCTGTCTGCCCTGCCTCTGCCATTTCCTTAAATCACAAATGGGGGCGTGAATTCGAGGCACACTTCAGCACGCAGCAGCACTCAAGGCACACACGCGCCATCACACAACAAAAGAAACCGCAGAACAAAAGGTGAGAGGTCATGCAAAATCCTACTTTTACCAGCTAGAAGAAAAACCAGTGACTTTTGGTACAGAATATGGGCACTTTTCAAACATAATTTAATTACTGTTGACATAATATGAAACCTTACTTTAAATACAATAGTTCCCCCCCTCCAAAATGCTGTTACAATATAAAACCACAACAAAAGGTGTGCAAATAGACATTTATATTAGCTATAAAAGGCAGTGGGCTGGGCATGGTGGTGCACGTAATCCCAGCAGTCTGGGAGGCTGAGGCAAGTTTGAGCCCCGTCTAGGCAACTCAGGGAAACCCTGTCTCAGAAGTTTAAAAAAAAAAAGTTCAAAAAGGGCTGAGGATGTAATTCATTGCAAAGGCCTCGGGTCCAATATGAGTACATGAGAGAAAGAAAGAAAAGAAAGAGAGAGAGAGAGAGAGAGAGAGAGAGAGAGAGAGAGAGAGAGAGAGAGAGAGAGAAAGAAAGAGAGAGAGAAAGAAGAAAGGAAGGAAGGAAAGAGAAAGAAAGCTGGAAAGAGAAAGAAATGAATTAGAGGAAGGTACAAAGCATTCTAATGAGAGGCCTGCCAAGACTATTTACAGCTCAGATTAAGCTTGTTGAACATCACTAGAGAAATAATTCCCTTGGCCAAGTGCCTCTGGGACACATGACAGAGAGTAGGGAAGGTGACGTCTGCCAGCCACCAGGAGTCCAGGAGACCTCACCTGGAGTGTACAGATTTGGGTAAGGCAAGGTGTCTGTCTCTAACTGAATATTAAACCAAAGCTATCCTCAGCCTTGGTTCCTCTACCTCTCCCTTCACTCAAATATCAGTGTGGTAGAGACTGTGTTATTACCATTGCAGTTTTATTCCCAGCTACATACCGTTCCGGAAGCAAAGAAACCTATGACTCAAGAATGACATCCTTGCGAACTCTGTCCCTTTAACACAACACAAGTGCCCATGAGGAAGTGTATTTGTGAACACTGAAGGTGAATAATTCACTTGCTGGATCTACGATCTTAACAAAGGAGCACAGGTCTCGCTGCAGCTTGGTGACAGGGAAAGCCTTCTGTCTTTGGGAGGCACCTGACACCTGCTGGACTAGGATTCGCTGAGCTCACTGGAGTTGCCCCTGGGAAGACAGTTTTGGATGCCAACTAGGGGGTGCTCTAGGCACTGGCAGGGATGCGCCTACGTATCCTACAGGACCCAGGAGAAGCCCACAGGAGGGAGCCAGGCAGCCATCATGTCTGACACGAAGAACCCTGGCTGAGACTGAATGTGGAGGTGCTCGCCCACAATTCCCCTGCACTTCCTTGTGTTCACTTTGGACAGCTCAGGTGAAGACAAGTTCTATACACACTTAGAACCACAGGCGCTTTTTCTGCTAAGATGGTGGAGAGTAATGACCTCAGTGACAGGGCTCTTCTTGGGCAGGCAGACACCAGCAGCTTTCCAAGGCTGCCCAGAGGAGGCACCCAAGTTGTACTGTGTCCTCCCCTCCAGCACCAGTACCCTTCCTGTGAGGCCAGGTGGACTTCACGTTCGGGACAAGTCACATGACTGCCTAACCCCTTTACCTTTACCCCCTTGACCCCCTGTAGGGGTAAAGGCTGCAGAGTCCGCACTTCCAATTCTGTGTGGCACCTACACTACCTCGTCTTCATGGCGGAGTTTCAATACATCAACACTGAGCTTCAGACAGGGGAGCTGTGTGTGTTGGCAACTGCAGTGCCGGGCTCCACATCTTCCCTTGGCCTAAGAATGAGAGGTCATGCGAAATCTTCTCTCCACATCCCCAAACTGCAGCAGTGCAGGGTAGAGCGGGAGGGGAGACACAGTGCTTGACAGGGGGGCCTGGGGCGAGGACTGGAATAGGGCAGGGTGATGGGCCCTGGTCGCAGGAGAATGGGCCCGGGAGGGGCAGAGACACAGAGAAAGGAGGGTGGGGGTGGAGGGAAGCTTTCATTTTGGAGGAAGCTGACTGTTTGAGAGTTTCAAAGAGAATGAAGGTTCGAATCCCATGGCTGGTGGTTAAAGTGTAGTCATAGACTTTGGGGTGTTAATGGGATAAAGAATGAGAAAGAACAGGGCTCCCGGATTTGTCCTCAGGACCACTGGGCTTGTTCACCTCACCACAGCCCCAAGAAGCTCCATGCCACCCAGGGAAGCTCAGGAGGCCTGGAAACCGGAAGATGGGTCTGTGAGGCTCTCAGTCCCGCCCCTCCCTAGTCCAGGTGACCCGACAGCGCATGTCCTAGACAGTTTATTTCCCATGCAGAGATGGCCTAGCATGGTCTCTTCCGAATGGCAGCTTTGCGCCCTAGATGAGGCCTCAGTGTGGGCACGGGCCACTGGCTCTGTCCTCCAGGCAACTGCAGACCTGGTGTTGGCTCCTCTGCCAAGCTGGTGGGGCACCACAGCCACTGCTTTGGGGCCACGGAGGAAAGCTGGGGGATGGGACCACCTCGCCCCTTCCCAGGCACTGCCTTGCTTTATTTAATCCTCTTGATAACCCAGACTCACTTTGGAGAAGGGGAAGCTAGGGGGTCATGGGCGAGGGGGCTTCCCCTAGAAGTCTACGGAGACTTCTGGCGAGGTGGAAGTTCTGGTGCATCCAATGCAACTGGGTCTACCTTGTGCTTCCAAGCAAATCAACTAACCCCAGCCAGCCAAGCTCAAAAAAAGGCGGAAGCCATGTACAAACGCATGCCCAGTGGGTCCAGCGGGCAGGAGGGCGCGGCAGGTGGGCAGCGTGGTGGGCAGCAGGCGGGCACTTTAGCTCATGGGGAAGCGGTGCTCACCGCGTGTGATGTGTGAGGAGAACTCGTACCTGTCCTGGCTGTGGTAGCCGCACATGTTGCACTCAAAGGGGTCGCGGAAGCCGTGGCAGCCCATGTGGATGGTGTACATGACGTGGTCAAGGAAGAGCACGCGGCAGTGTTCGCACCTGTAGGCCTTGACCTGCTCGCCGCTCATGCTGAGCACGCGGAAGGCGTCGTGCGCGCCCTCGAAGGCCCGCTGCTCCTCCTTGAGCGCCAGCCCGTTTCGGGCGTGGGGGCCCAGGTGGCTGCTCAGGTAGATGAGGCCGCCCCGCTGCTCCTCCGTGTTGCTCTCCGTGTCCGTGGAGTCTTGGCAGCTGTTGCTCGGGGACGCCTCGCGCTCCGACGATGCGCACTTGGCCTTGGACAGCAGCAGCAAGTTCTCCACCGCGCTGTCCTGCGCCGAGGGCGGCGGCCGCGGGGGGCCCTCGGGCCCGGGCTTGTGCAGCGGGTACAGCGGGCTGAGGACCGGGACCACGTCGGAGCCCCCAGGCGGCGTCTGCACCAAGGGCCGCAGGGACTCGGCCCCCAGGTAGCTGATGGCGTTGTTGATGGCCTGGTCCATGACGTGCGACGTCATCATCTCGTTCTCCTTCTCGTAGCTGCCGCTGCTGTCGTAGGGCAGGTCTGACAGGCACTTGTCCCCTGTGGGAAGCGAGTGGCCGTGAGAGGGGTCTGCACTGGGGAGGGGTCGCCTCCCGCCCGGGGTCCCAGGGCCCTGTAGCCAGGAGAGGCGGGGGCAGCTGTGTCTGCGGACGGGAGGCTGGGTAAATGGTGGGAGGACCCCAGATTATCTGTGCCAGGGTAGACAGTGCACCTTTCAACAGGCTAAACAATACCCATGCCGAATGAGATGCAGTAACCCAGGCCTGGTGGTGCACACCTGTGATCCCAGCACTTTGGGAGGCTGAGGCAGGACAGTGCAAGTCTGAGCCTAGCCTGGGCAACTCAGCAACTCAGTAAGACCCTGTCTCTCAATAAATAAATAGGGCTAGAGATAGAGCTCAGTGTGGGTTCAATCCTCAGCATGTAAACAAACAAAATCCAGCCAAACAACCCTGCATTATCATACTTCATTTAAAATTAATATTTTCAACGAGGTATCTTCAATATAGTCTTCTAAATAATTTACAATAACTGCTCAATTTGTCCCTGCAGAGCAGAATGGAATTACTCTGCTCTGTCCCCAAGTCTGTCCCGCTACCAAAGCCTGGGAACAAGGAGGGCGGGAGCCGGGCAGCCACCTCTGTAAACATGAACGTGTGTGGTGGCCACACCAAGCGGGGTGCTTTCCCATCGAGACGTCCTGTTTCCCCCAGAGTCGCATCTCTGTGACTTCCAAGCCACCACCCAAGTCTGTTCTTTTCAACACTTGGTATCAACAGTAAATGGGTACAGGAAAAGCAGGTGTATATTCCAGATTATCAGGGGTTTATTAAATTTACCCATGGAGCAAGGACCCGAGTTCAATCCCCGGTACCAAAAAAAAAATTTACTCATGGAATTCCTCTTCCCTGGTGCCCAACAGCAAGAGAAAAATCAGAAACCTACAAAATCCTGCAACAGCAGTCAGCTGAAGAAATGAGCATATCCTAGTGAAATCTGCCATCTATGACCAAGGGGAGAACCAAAACTACCTGAGACACAGGACACAATCTGGCTACTAATTTCTGTCTCTGCCTCTGTCCCTCTTCCTTTCTCTCTCCCTCTCTCAGAGACAAAGTCTCTCAGGCTGGCCTAGAACTCTAGATGCTCCTGTCTCAGCCTCCCGAGTGCCAGATGCTAGTCTCACTTCCTAAACACTTGGGTATGGATCCACAGCACTCGCTGCATTTGCCTAATATCCTCACATGCACCAGAATTGTTCTCTTTCTCGCTGGTCGCTGAGCAGTGTGTCCTCTGCCTGCAGGAGCCAGGTGACACCGGATGGAGCAGACAGCCTGGGTCCCAGACACAGGCAGAGCCTTGAAGGTCAGGGCTGCAGGGGCCGAAGGCAGGGAGCCCAGAGCTCCCCTTTGGGAACAGGAAGCACCACAGCACTGCTGCTCTGTGGGTTTTAACCAGATCTCTTGACATGAAGGAGTCTCCACCTTCTTGTATCCTCTCAGGATTCAGAACACCGGCCATCGCTCAAGGGAGAGGAAACCTCAGATGTGGTGGAAAGAAGCCGAGAAGCCAGTTCAACTCTGTCAGAGCAGCAGCAGAGGCAGGAGCGAAAGAAATGTCATGACGACCATGCAAATATTTTCTAGTGACTCGAGGGAGGAAGGGAAGTAAAACAAACCAGTAAGTGCATCCTAAGGAAAGATAAACCTAATTTAGGGAAGCCAGGAAATGCCTCACAGTGGTTTCATGATATGAAGTCAGTTTTTTAAAAAAATTCAAGGATAGCAGTCAAAGCAACAAAATGAAAGGAAAAGAGATTTCAGCTCTCAGAAGATGAAATGAAGCCCCAAACAATATTATTATGGAATACACAAATGAGAACCAGCACAAAACAGAGCAAAACCTACTGAAAACTGAATTATGGACACAGATGGAAACATAGGATAATAATAGTAAATTTTAAAATGCAAAGAAATAAAAATAAGCATAAAGAAATGCTAACCAATATGGAAGACAAATTGTCCAGTGCATGGACAACTGGTATCCCCAGACAGACATCTCAACAGATAGAGCAAAAGATATAGGAAAGAGTGTTTTCCAGAAATAAAAAAACAGGAGGGGAATTGCCAGAGGAAAATGGCAGGAAAATTTTATTTAGAATGCAAAATGCTAAAGACATCTCCTAGTCAGAGTGTGTGATTTTAACTTGTAAGAAAGAAGTCTTCACTGGTACATACACACCTGTCATCCCAGCACTCTGGGAGGCTGAGGCAGGAGGTTTACAAGTTCAAGCTCAGCCTGGGAAACTTAGCAAGATCAAAATAAAGAATGAGGGCCAGTGATGGAGCACAATGTGAAGGCCCTAGATTCAATCCCCAGTACAGAAAAAAAGAGAAAAAGAGGGGTGGGAGAGAAACAAACTATAGGAATTCAGGGAGAAAATGGAAATCACCTTCACGGAAAAAATATCACATCAGATTTAGACATCTCCACAGGAACATGCAACTCTCCCTGTTGCCACCAGGAGACCTGGCAAGATCTAGAGTATCAGCGAACACCGGAAGTGATCATGACCAGCCACTCCAGCAGGACACCCTTTGGGTATCAAGGCGACAGACAGACATCTTGTAGCCACGTAGGTATGGACATCTGGAGAACTTCCACAAAAAGTCCACTCGAGAGACAAATAAAAAGGGAAGGAATCTGTGCTGAGAGGACTGGGTCTGATTCTTCAATCTATTTAAATACAGGATTATGAACAAGGACTACACACCTGTGAGCATAATGGTTACAGGATAGATGGGGGTATTCTGAAGCTGGACAATATACATATAATAATCATAAACACTGAGGCCTGGAGTGATGCCCTTATTCCTCAAAGGAATGAACCGGTAGGTATTGGTGTCCTCACACTGAAACACGGGGATTAAATAATGATTCCAAGCTCCTTATGTCTTTCATACTAAATATTTTTAATATTAATCTTTTAAAAGTAATATTCTTAAAAGTAATATTCTTCTGGGACATAATATTTACTTGATGAGCAGCCACTCTTCATGTACTGTTTGGGTTCTTTTCCCCTCTTAAACTTAAGACATGTTTAATATGTGGGATTCTTTAGAAAGAATTTATTTCACGTATATCTATTTTAATCCACCTACCCACCATCCTACCCATTCATGCATAGATGACAGAAATTTAGAACGAAGCACATCTAATTTAATATTGGTAATTTCTGAATGCTGGGTCTTGTAGTGATTTTGAAGACATTAATCTTTGCATCAAAGGTCTTTATATGCTAGGTGTGGCAATGCATGCCTGTAACCCCAGCACTTTGGGAGGCTGAGGCAGGAGGAACAGAAATTTTAGCCTAACCTCGGCAATTTTGTGACTTGGCAAGACCCTGTCTCAAAAAAGAAAAACAGAGCTGGGGATGCAGCTCAATGTGAAGGCCCAGAGTCCCAACCACAGTATCACAAAACAGTCTTTATATTAATATATTAATATAAATTATATAATTATATAAATCAATTTATATTAATTTATGTATAAGTTAAATAATACAACAGGATTTTTTTTCTTGTGAAAGGAGGAAATCCAATATAATTATGATGGGCAGCAGGAACACTGATAATCATCACTTTAGTTTTGGTGTTTTTTGTATTTTAAAAATGTCCTTGCCCCAGTCAGCAGCCAGAGTAGAAGCAGCAATCTGCACCACTGTTTCACAGGAGCCTTTCTCCCTGGGCCTTCGACCCTGTGGCCCGCCTCGGACCAGCGCAGAGGGTGTAATGGCGGGGGCAAAACAATCTCTTCACACTCGTGCTGAAGCTTACATGCTCTGTTCAGAGCCCATGTATCAACAGAGCAAAACTATATGCCTCCCAGAGCCATACGCAACATGAAAACAACACGGCCTGCGTTTCTAAGGTGCTTCAGAGGTGGAAGCACCGTCACAGACATTGTATCTTTTGATCACCTTAAAAAACTACAACTAGAAATTGCATTCGACCCAGTTATTCCCTCCTAGGTATCTTCCTGCAAGAACTGAAGTCATAATTTTACAGTGATCTCTGCACACCCATGTTTACGGCAGCAGGATTCATAGCAGCTCAATCTTGGAAGCGGCCTATATGTCCATCAGCAGATGAATGGATAAAGAAAATGTGGAATTTTTAACACAGTGGAGTACTACTCTGCCATAAAGAAGGATAAACTTGAGTCATCTGTAGGAAAATGGATGGAGTTTGAGACCATAATGCTAAGGAAAGTAAATTAGACACGCAAGGTTATATATCACACGGTTTCCTTATATGGAAAACTGTAAGTATGAATAAATTGAAGAGAAAACTAAATGGCAGATTACAGTAAACGGAGACAAGTCTTTTGCAGATGGGAAGGGGACGAGAGATGGGAGGAGGGAGGGCGTAAGAAAGATGTGTTGTGTACACGGACCCGCTCCCCGCAGCGCTTGTCATCATTGCGTCCTGCAAACGGCATGGATAAAAGCAAAAATAAAATAAAGCAGCTGGGCTCCCGCCCTCCTTGAGTCCCCGACGGATGCACACGGCCTCCTGGGGGTGACCCGGCCCAGAGAGACAGGGAACAAGGCCGCTGGCGGGCCGCCGGGGCGGGCAGAGTGGCAGCCCTGGGCTGTGGGAGCCCTCCTTCCCGCGTGGTTTCTGCTGCCCTTCCCCGACCCACCGGGCCGCGTCCTCCCAGCTGCCTCTCCCCGCAGGCCTCTCCTCCTCCTCGCCTCGCCCCGCAAGCACTGTCCTCCCGGGTAACCCAGGAGCTCCGAGTGAACAGGCGTCCTTCCTGCGGCTGCCGGAAGTGTCACAGACTTCCGCTCAGCTCGCCTTGGAGCTCCAGGGGTGGGGCGCGCCCGGCCCTCTCCGGGGCAGCGCCGACCGGACTCAGCCCGGGCCTGCTGGTGGCTCTGCGGGTGCTGATCTCCTGCTCGGCCCACCAGGCCCTCTCCCGATACCCACGCCCAGGGACCCTCAGCAGACGCTGCTGGCCAGCGAGGGGGCCCCGGGTCCGCCCCTGACGCTGCTCGAGCCCCGCCGATCCCATGGCCTCCTCAGCCCGGCTTCCTTCCCATTCTGCTCACAGTGGAGGCCCCGTTCTGGGCTCCACAGCTCCTTACATATGGTGACTCCCCCGTTTCCCCAGGTCTCTTCCTAATGGCCTTCCTTCCCCTGCTCCTCCCAAGCTGGATCCAGGACAAACCTCTGTTCAATGGAGAGGCCAAGCTGGAGCCCGATTTGGCACTGCCGGGGAGGAGGCTGGGGCCCGAGATTTCAGTCCGCGCAGGGCCCCAGCACTTGGAGCTCTCTGCGGCTCCATCCTCTCCCCTCCCGGCGCTCTTTCCCTGGGCCGCCCACCCCCGCCCTCCTTGGAAATTGGCGCCCAAAGCCCCAGCGCCATCTCCTTCCAGAGCTCGCCTCCCCCTATCCCACACAGCGCGGAACCCACTCGGAGACTGCAGTGGGGCTTCCTTTCCCGCCCGCCCCGCCATCCCTGCTCTCTCCCCAGCGCTGGCCCCTCCTCCTTCTTCCATCACTGTGTCTTCTTTCCATCTCTCAGCTGCCTGAGGCTTTTTGTTCCTCTTTCTTGGACACAACCCTTGCCCACTCCCTCGTGTCAACATGACCTTCACACTGAGGGTGTCTACACGTCCTCACTCCCCGGGGTCCTTTCAGGTTCACGGTGACCCCATGTGACACATAATGATGGGAGCCAAGGGGAGGTCAGAGAGACAGAGCCCTTCTCCCAAGGTCACAGCCTCTCGGAGTGGCCCTGCACTACCCACAGGCTGCACGCCTGCCACCATGTTCCCCTTGCTGTCCACCATTTAGCCTGGATGATGGTTATGGACACACTGTCCACCGCCTGTGCTGATCAACAGCTCTGGGAGGAGGGGCTCACCCTGCAGTGTGCTCCCCACAGCATCTGGCACAAGTGAGAATTCAGTGGTCAAAATACCAACCCTACCATGTTTCCCCTTCACTCAGCACTGCCTGGGGCCATTGCTACTCGAGCCGCATTAATCTCACAGTCGTCCACAGGGAATGCGAAGCTCAGAGAGGTGCATGGACTGGGGTGTCTTTCTGTGCATGATGGGGCCCCAATTCCCAGTCCTGGCCATAGTGACCCGGCCACCCCCGAAGCACAGTAACCAAGGACCAAAGGGCTCCAGACACTGCAAAACCACGTGTGACAAAAACTGGCGAGAGGAGGTTTGCCAATGTTGTGAAATGTACTGAAAACATTCTAAGAAATTTAAGAAATGTTAAGTTTACCACTTTTTGCTTTGTAAAAAATCAGATTGGGTTCCTCTCCTCTACCCTCACCTAAGTCTAAAACACTCAGGAAGAAGTTGTTTTTAAGAGACAGCAAATGTGTAACTCTTACCAAGAAATTTCTGAGGCATAGAACTCTTACGTTTGGCGACGTTACTTGCTATTCTGTCCAGCACGAGGGATCTCTCTGATCCTATCTTGCACAGGTCTTCTGCCATCTCACTGTGATTAGTTTCTTCTTTAATAACTAAAGTCAAAGACAGAGAGCCAGTTTAGAAACATGGATGTTGAAAGAATTCCAGCCTATCCAGTGGGACGGTGACATTGGCTACATGCCCACGAGAACTGGGCCTCTCCTTGAAGTTATTTCTTATCCTCCCAGCAACCCAGCCAGACGGACAGTGATGGGCTCCTGCTCCACCACCAACTCAGCACACACGATCTGTAAGACCAAACATGTCACTTCTGTCATCTGAAGCTGGACCTCAGGTAAGTAACTGTGTCCCTTGGACAGGGCCTTTAAACTTTTCAAAATGTCGCTAAGTCCACTAACTCCGTCAATCCTGGCAGCAGCACTCTGAGAAATGTCCCCTCAAGAAATGATCTAGGAGTCTGATTTCCTCAGCAAGCATAGCACACAGAGAAGAGGTACATGGCCGTGGAGCCAGAACCCCAAGCTCCCTGTCCCTGGACACGGCAAGCCTGACGGTCAAACAGCACTTGCACACTGGAGAACACGCAGATGTTCTGGAGGTAAATGCAGACATACGGCTAACTGATCTCTATTTTTTCTATCCTCTCTTTCCACAGTTGAAGATAGAACTTTGTATCTCATAAGTCTCATCTCTACTGACTTCTAGCTTTCACGGCTAACTCTTTTGAAGTATAACTCATCCTCCTGAAATTTATCCTTATGTTTTAGGAGCTGAAGAAGTAAATGTTATTTTCTGCATATCTAATCAGTTCTGCCGACACTGCTTCTGTCTCATGCTTTCTGCTTGCAGATATTTCATGCTGATTGAACACAGAGCATTTAGCAGGCTTAACCATTTCTATTATTGATTTGTCTATTCTTCAAAGAGCTCCTCACATTACAACTACTACAATTTCATATAACACTGGGCCTCACCCCTCTTTAAAAAAAAAGTTGCTAATCTTCTCATTCATGTTGCCAGATGTACTTTATGATAGATGGCTACCAAATTCCATTGAGATCCACCTCTGTGTGTCCTTTCTTGCCTCTAGATGGTTTGGAAACTTTATTCACTATACCCTGCACGATGGCTGAGAAGAGGACGCCAAAGTATTTTATGACTTCATTGCCATTATGAACCTAAAAATTATAAAAACTATATTTTGCACTTGATACTATTGCTGGCATATTTTATATTTAATGGTGTAAATGTATGTTCCTTATTAAATAGGCCAACCCCTTTCACCCCACCGATTAATAGGAAGGATGAACATACATCTGTTTCCACTGGACCTACTAAGCTAGCATGCTCACTTACAGGTCCTTTCTCTGCACAGTAGTGGCCAATGGCCTGACCAGGGCACCCACACATCCAAGTGGGGTTTCCTCGTTCATACCACAGGGCCTCCACAGGGCTCCAACCCCCGCTGGCCACAGCCAGGGACAAAAATGCCCCCAAGCTCCCAGGTCTCTGGCTTCTCTGCCCTTAGACATGCTAACTCATCACTCTGTGACTTCAGGTTTAAGAGAAACTATTTGCATATAGCAGAGAATGACCACAGGTGACTAAAGCCTTCTACTAAAGAAAACTGTCCCGATGAAAGCGTTTCCCTACATCCTCTAAGCTAGGCGTTGTTTGTATTTAATGGGCCAGTCTAAGAGGGATGGAAGTGAAGGACCTCTCAGCTGTCCCCAGAGAGCTGACATGGGCAGGCCTCTGGGGTGTGGAGGGAGAGGCACAGGGACAGCAGAGGAACAGCATAGTGGGATGCTGGATGGTACCTGCCTTCCCCGCCCACATGGAGCCCAGCAGGAACTTGTTAAAGTTCTTCCCAGGATCCCCTTAAAGCTCCAGTTTCCCCACTCAGCGCCTGCTGATACCTCCATGGCAGGTGTCAGCAAGGTGGAGTGACTGGCTTGCTGCTATGGTTTGCTCTTGAGGGTCCTCTAAGGGCACATGTGTTCAAGGCTTGTCCCCAGGTGACACTGCTGGGAGGTGGTGGAACCACTGGGAGGTCTGGTCTGGGGGAGTCCTCCGGTCATGGGGTGCCCTCAGAGGGGACTGTGAGGCCAGTTCCTTCCTCTCTCTTTCTGTTCGCTGGCTGGTGATGGAAGTGGTTCTCTCCCATGACATGCTGCCTCACCACTGACCAAAGCAACAGAGCTACCCAACCATGGACTGGCACCCCCACACTGTGAGCCAACCTGACCCTTTCTTTTATAAGACGGTCCTCTTATAATGGCTCTCTCTCTCTCTGGTACTGTTATATGGCCAGAAAGCTGACTGATGCACAGGCTCAGGTGTTTGCAGACCGGATGCACATCTGGATTCCATGGGAGGCAGGAGGAGCTCAGTGTCCATGGGTTCTGGTACACTTGCTCAGCCTGCCCGAGGCCCTGGGTTCCAGCCCCACCACTTCAAACCACAACAGCAACTAAAAACCTGTATCCTTGGGCTGTTTCTTCTGCTGGTTTTATTTTCTCAATTCCATGTGAGTATCAGATGATGTTATTCCATGGGGCCCGGTACTTTAGTCAACTTCTTAGTAAATATGTTGAGCATATACAATGGCTCATTAAGCATTACTATGTAAATGCCATCATTAGAAACACTTGCTTCTCAGACCCACTAACTGATTTTCTCAGACAAATACAATATCTGAGTGTTCACATTTTATTTTAAAGGAACAAGATCATTCTATTCTCCCTCAATCTCCTGCTTGGGGACTGGCCACAAATTGATAATTGTTAAATTAATATTATGATTTTAACATTCAGGTTCTCCTTTTTCCACTCATTCTCAATACCTTTCCAGTCTAGACTCGAGACTTGGAAGACCAACAATAATTTCATGGAATCTCCCCATTTCACAGGTAAGAGGACAAAGGCCCAGGAAGCTGTTGTCCCAGATCCACAGTTGACCAGTAGGGGAGCCCTTGCTATAGGATGCATTTCATGTTAATGTCAAGGCTGATCTGAAAAAAATTTTAGGATTTTTTTCTGGCCATTCTTTTCTCTTGGTCTCATTGGCCATTAATAATTTGAGTGTATTCAAGTGAATTTTCACATATGAGCCATTTGTTAAAGTCAGAATGTTGAGAGAGGCTTACTAAATTATCAGTCATTCATTTCATTTCTACCCCACCATCCAATGATGACTTTTTCCAGTGGTTGTGTAAAATGAATATTGTTTGGAAAGAGGCTAGCTTCATTTTATTTATGTCTTAGTTACTTTCTAATCCCTGGGAGACAATTCCTGACACCCAAAACTTAAAGGAAGAGAGGTTTATTTAGCTCACAGTTCGAAGAGGTTTCAATCCATAGCCAGCTGAAAAGCAGGGCAGCATGGCAGAGGGGCCTGGCAGAGGAGAAACAGTCCATAGCATGGCGGCAGGAACCAGAGGGTGATCAAGGGAGAAGGGGGGAGATAGACACTTCCAGGCCACACTTCTGGTGACCTACCTCCTCCATCCAGGCTTCCCAATATCATATTGAGCTACAAACTCATCTGATGAGTTTCACACCTCTATAATCTAATCATCTCCAAAGTCCTACCTATGAGTGCATGAGGCTTTGGGAGGACATGTAGATACAAACCATAACAATCTATTTATGAAACTCATATCTCTTAGGAAATGAGAAAGGACACTTTCGTAATACTGCTGTCCTGTGTGCAAATTCAGCCTTCTTCAGTACTTTCTTCACACCTTTCACTTTGTTATCTAAGAAGGACTTATGTGCTATCTCATTACACAACAGAGTACAGGGTGGGACACACATGCTATCTTTCCTTCCTCTTCTGATGCCCTCAACACTACTGACTGAGTCCTCTAATAAGTTTTGCCCACACACCCAAGGCACATGCAAACACTTTGCCTTTGAAATCATAACCTGAAATCTCTGATTTGATTAACTTTATGAAATTTTTCTTTTCCTTTTGGTGGTACTGGGGATTGAGCCCAGGGCCTCCACATTGAGCTATGTCCTCAGCCCCCCTATTGTTTTTTTAAACACAGGGTGTTACTAAGTCGCTAAGTTGTCCAGGCTGGGCTCAAATCTGCCTCAGTCTTCCAGAATGCTAGAATTATAGGTATGTACCCCCATGCTTAGCTTATGAAAAAATAATTTTACAAAAAGACTGCATAGCTTATTTTGATTACTAAGCACAAAAATTGTATTTTATTTGTTTGTTTTTGTGGTGTTGGTGATTGAACCCAGGGCTAAGTGCATGTTAGGCAAATGCTCTACCACTGAGCTATAGCTCTAGTACGCTCCTTTAGGTTTAAAGTAACAAACTCAAAAAATAAACTGGCAACTTTTAAGGGTATCTACCATCTTCGATGTTTCTCTGGATTTAAAGAGGGAAGATTTTTAAATAAGCTATATGAGGTCAGATGACAGCTGAGAAAGTGGGGAAGGAAAATGTTCCTAGTGAAATTGCCACGTAGTTGGCCATAAAGGGGAAGCAGGGCACCTCTGGGCTCCTGATGCACTGGGAGGGAGAGGGCTCCAGGCCCAGCCTGGAGCACCGTGCTTACCTGGGTACAGCGTGCCTGGAAGGCCCATGCTTTCCAAGTAGTTGTGGCAGCGCTCTTTATGTTCCTCTAAAGAGCTTCGCTGTTTATAGCTTCGGCCACAATATCCACATTTGTGAGGTTTACCAACTGCAGGAAACACAATTGAGTTCAAGACTCCAATTAAAGGCCAGCCTTCTGCGTAATGGGAATGCATGCAATACAATTATTACCTAAAAAAGTTTTTAAAAATTCTACTCTTGAAAGCTAAAGGCATTATGGAGTTGGCCTAAATTACTGAATTTTAAAATGTCAGTGCCCAGGGTACTCCTTGACATACCAAGAACTCCTGTGACTCTTATTTCACCTCAGTTTGCCTGCTAAACTGGCTACCAAATTCTCCCTTTTTGACATCAGTGAACTTGGTCCTTAACTAGAAAAAAATGAGCCACTGCACTGTTATAATGTGGACACCAAATAACTGAACAGAAAAGCAAGGAAGGCTGGGTAATTTACCTTCACAGTGGGCCTTCTAAGAGTGCACTTTGGCTAGGTCTGGCTCTGTACATCTGCTACATCTATTGCAACAAAGGTGGATGTGATTCAAAAGGTTAAATGGGATAATTTGAGGTCTCTAAGAAACCATGGTGGACAAAGATGGTTTAAGGAAATGTGCACTCTGTTTCTAAATTGCATTTATAAATATAATTCTAATGTGTTTTATATTTGTATTGTATGATACAAAATATTTAACATAAGAACATACAATACAAAAATACAAAATGGAAAGTTACATGGATAAGCCAAAATGTGTTTTCATATGGAAAACCTGTAGTGCATTTTTCATAAACAGAAAAATGTTTTCTCTCTAAAGAATGTTAGAATGATGTAGCTTTTACAACAACCCTGACCATCAGAATTCATCTATGGTGATTGACATGTTTTATACATCTGTCCAACATGGCAGCTAGCATGCTGTCCAACATGGTGGTGACCATGCTGTCCAACAGGGCGGCCACATTGCTGTCCAACATGGTAGCCATAATGCTGTCTAAAATGGCAGCGAGCATGCCATCCAACATGGCTGCCACTGTGCTGTCTAACAGAGAACTAAAGTTATTTTTGTTTAATTTTTAATTTTCTAAAATTAAATCATCACATATGGCTAATAGCTAGTGTACTGGGGAGTGTGCATGTGTGTGTGTGTGCGCGCACGTGTGTGTGTATGTGTATACAGTCCTTCCTGAATTTTACTAAATGGTATTTTAGGAAAAAAAAAACTAGCAAGTAATCCAAATCATGCTTATATTTAAAGACTGCAATAGATACCATTTAAAAAGATGAAATGAAGAAAACTTCTCCAGTTACTTATATAAGGAATAGTGTAAGTCCTCGACTTACACATAAGTTCCATTCCGAGAGAATTGTTCCTAAGTTGGATTTGTTTATAAGCCAACAAATAAGTCTTATACAGTACACCTGTGAAAGTTTGCAACTCCAAGGTTGAGAACTTACTGTATAAATTTTCACCTTAGACCAGAGTTTTCTATATACTGTATACTGTATATAGAAATGTATGTTTTCTGTATACTGTAAGTTGAGAACTTACTGTATAAATTTTCACCTAAGACCAGGGTTTTCTTTCTTGTGATTTTTGATTTATAATATTTTATTCTATAAAAATCAAAATTATCCAAATAAGGATGTTTAACTAATATAAACTATGATTAAACTTGTATATTGAATTGATTACTGTTTTAGAAATGAAAAGAATATATAAGTAACCCTTTCATGCCCTTTCTTGGAAAATGTGTAATATTTTGGTGAATTCCATAATCAAAATAGTCTTCTGTATGTATGACATGGTATGTGAATATCCATTTTTCTGAATATATGACTGATTTTAACTATGCAACATAGATATATTCACTGTAAGCCACTGAGCTAAGGTCCTGCAGTGGGAAAGTCTCTAATAAAGCCTACAATTTCGACAGAAGCAGTGAAGGAGAAAGGGGATCCTTTCTCTACCTTCTGGATCCCTCAAGCTTCTTATTTGTGGTACTGGGGACTGAACTCAGGGCCTTCACACTGAGCTACATCTCCAGCTCTTTTTATTTTGACACAGGGTCTTGCCAAGTCAGTAAGTTGCCCAGGCTTGAACTTGCAAGGCTCCTGCCTCAGCCTCCCAGAATGCTGAGATTACAGGCATGCACTACTGCTCCCAGCCCCCAAGCTTCTCTGGATAGCAGAGCACCATGGGACAAGTTCTATAGCTACCACCACTGATGTGTTATGTCTGGAATCTCAGGCTTCCACCAGTTCCTAGAGAGAGCTATGTGGTTGCTCATAGTTTTAATGAAGTGGGGGCATGCTCATTCCAGAGGGAAATGGAACATGCCTACGTTAGGGTTTGCCTTCAGTCCACCCTAGTGAAATCATTTGGAACAACCTACATCTCTGTTTATTTTCCCCCAGAGATGTGTCTAACAGCACTTTCCCACAGCAGCCCTGCTTCCATGACGGTTTCCCTCACTTACTCCTTGCTGGACCCATAACTAGGACCCATGTCCTAGTCTACCACCTCCTTCATATGAGGTGTGAGAAACACAGTGTTTAAATTTAAAATATTTTACTACAGTCAAAGACACATTGCTATGAGTCCCCCTCAGAATCCTGCCCCTTGCTTCAAAGACACTCATCCCATCGTCCTTGCCATTTCCTGCAGCAGCTCTGGAGTCCTCTTTCCTGAATGTTTTTAGTTGCACTATGTGGTTGCCTCGATGTCCTGAATTGATTCAAAATGTTTCCTTTTCATTTTGACTTTGGGAAAGAGCCGGATGTCACACAGTGCCAACTCTGGTGACAGATGGATGAAGATACAATGGCATATTTTTACTACCCTACCTTCCCACTGGATGGTGCTCAGCAGCAGCATTCATTATCCTTTTTCCTCACACTTTGTGAAGACCTCAGGAAAGGACTTCAAGAGTACTTCAAGAGGTGCTTCAGAGAGTGACAAGAGATGGGAAGTGCGTTGGAACAAAGGGGTGCATTCCGAGGGAGATTAATGGCACTGTGTGTTTACTGTACTAATTTTTAAAAAATTTAAACACTCACTGTGTATTCTGACTACACCCTGTTATCATTCAGTAAGCAGCCACACCGAGAGTGGGAACCCATCCCACCTCCAGTGGTTCGAGGAGTGGTGTCAGAGTCACACATACACACTGCGCTACATGTTCCTCATTTCACCAGAAAGAAGAGAGCTGCATCACCCTAAGGAGTAAGGAGCACAGTGCAGGAGAGACCAGGACTGGACTCAGAGCTGCCCCAGGCTGGCGATGATGGGGCTGGGATCACCTAAGAGCCAGTCTTCACATCTCCATGAACGGGGCAGGTGTGAGTCCTACCGACCCAGTGCAATACTGCTGCCCATTTCCTTTGTGTCTAGGTGACCCTAATCCAGGACAGAGGTGGGGCTGCACTCTCCTAGTCACCTGTGTGATGCAGCTGAGCCCTCCCTGGCTCCTCTGTAGCGTCGTCCAGCCACCAACTTCCCTCTGATTGGGGCCTCACGGGACCACTCCCAGGGGGAGGCCCAACCTCTGCCAACACACGCTGAAATGCTCACCACACCCTTCAGGGCCACCGCAGAACCTCAGCTCCCTCAGGGCTCCTCCGAGCAAACTCAGAAACGGGCCCTGGGCACATGCTTCATCCCCCCTCCCACCAGAAGCCTCTCCTGGCCCTCCTGCAACCCCCTTCCCTCAGATGCCCTGCTGTGCCATGTGAAAGATGCTGGTGCTTTCTTGGGGTACACCTGTCCCTCCTGGAGGAGCTCCATGAGGCTCTCAATAAGTGTGGGATAAGGACACAGACACCGGAGAGGTCTCTAAAACCTGCACCATGAAATACGCTCCTCTCGTTTGGGAAGAGACACCCTGAGCTCTGTCCATCTTTTCCAAAGAACTTGACCTGCCTCTGCCTCCTAGGAAGGGTCTTCCATATACCACGACCTGGGACAGCAGTAAGGTGCTGGTCTGAATCAGCTTTCTCCCCCTAGCACGTGCCCGGAGTGGCTGCTGTTGTTGAATTTGCCCTTGTGCAGTGCACAACAATACTCCGACAGCGCAGTGTGGAAGAAAGAAACCTGCGCAGGGCAGGCCGTGTAGACCACACTGCAGGCAGACAAAACCAATTGGCCAAGAGCCTCTGCTCCTGCTGACCCGTGAGGCGGTGGGGCTTCTGGATAATAGACCACCCAGATTTCTAATCTAATTAAAGACGAATTTAGTGACACCCCTCCCTCACCCGGCTCTGGCCTGTCTGGGATGTGCTTAGTGACAAGTGTTGCTGTCTCAGTCTGCGCCAGCTGCCTGGGCCTCTCTGGCTGAGGCCTGTGAGCGCCAGTCTCCGGCCTGGCGGGCCTGACCTCTGCCGGAAGTGCCAAGGTGGGAGCCACCTACGCGTCACCTCGGCGGGGAACTATCGCTGCCAATGACGGTAAAGACGCTCCGCAGGCAGCGTCCAGGGCGGCTGCACCGTGAACCGGAAGAGGTGTGTTTGGAAAGTTCCAGGGTGCTGGGTGAGGTTGCTGAGCAAGCGGCCCCCCACACCCCATGGCTTGGCACAGCAAGCAGAGGCCGCCTCGCCCAGACACACCCGGCTCCCCGTTCTCCCTTGCGCCTGCGTGCACGTATGCGCATGCGTGTGTACCCTGTGTGCGGACAGGCGCATGCATGTGCGTGCGTGCGTGCGTGCGTTGCATTCCCGCCCAATGCCTCTAGTGCTAGGAGACCTCTGGCGCGCGCGATGTGGGCAACCAAGGCTGAGGTCAGGCCGCCGACACCCTGGAGGCCCGCGAGCTGGGCCGGGCCGGGCGCCTGATGTGGCCTCCACTCCGCTGCGGCGGGCGCGAGACCTACCCGAGTGCGTCCGCAGGTGGCCGGTGAGGGCGTCCCTCCGGCGGCAGGCATAGTTGCAGAGGTGGCACTTGAAGGGCTTCTCCCCGGAGTGCAGCTTGATGTGTCGCAGCAGGTTCCCTTTCTGGGTGAAGGAGGCCCCGCACTGATTGCACTGGAAGGGTCGCTCTCCTGGGACGGGAGAGGAGAAGGTGAGAACGGAACTCAAAACTCCGAGCGTGAGGGGACAAGGGACAACTGCGGCGCGAGAAAGTTGTTTCCCACGGGGGCTCGGTGACTTCCACCGGCTGCAGGTTTGATAGAACACGAGGCTTTCAGACGAAACCTGCCAGCTCCTTAACGCTTCACTGGCTGGGTCAATTTGATCTGAAAATCTAATTTTTTTTCCCTAAATCAGAATGGCACATCACAATGCAAATTCAAACTCATTTAAATAAAGTGACTGCAACATTTTGTGATGAAGAGCCACTCTTCCTGATCAGCAGTTTTGGAATAAACCAATATCCAATTTTGCGTGTTGTGGCATTTGGTGGGGTTTTTAATGTGGCTTTTTTCAAAGGGTCTTTAAAATATGCCACTGAAGCAGCAAAATAAAAAGGAAACTCATTAAAAATGCATTTCAGGATCACAAGTTCATTTCAGCGTTACATTCTTATATTTAAATGAAAGGCACTTCATTATAGCAGTTATAATAACTTCTTTTCATTTACATTTTCCCTGTATTTTCCCTTTCAATTTCTTCTCCATTACCTGTCTGTCCCTAAGCAGGCAAATCAAGAGAGAGACAGACAGAGAAGTGTGGGGTGAGAGAGGAAAGAGACAGAGAGACAGAGAAAGATCAAATAAAACACGAAGTTGAGACACAGTGAAGCCAGGGTCCCACCTTGCAGAGCAAAGCCCCAAGCTCCTGAAACAAGGCTTCAAAGTCAGAGTTTCATTGAGATTTTTGTCTTTTTCTTTCTGCAAAACTTTTTAACCTTTAAGCTCTTATTTGTCTTCTTCCACAGAAGACAAGTGCTATTTCAAGTACAGGTCACCTCAGAGACAAGATTCCCGTTCTTGAGGAATTCTTCCTGGGGTGGCACATGGTACATGGAATTGGTGCCCATCCAGAGCCTGGGACGTGTGCCATGTGTGGCAGGGCGTGTGCTTATATTCTGGATCTGACGGAGGGGCACACGGGGACTTGTGAACAAGACATATGCTATTGTCCTGCAGGGCAGTCCCAGGTCTCGGACTTCCACGGGGTGAACATTTCATTGAACCCGCACTTAGAGGAGCAACATGTTTGTCACCTTTAGGTAAATATGAAAGCTCTTTGAGCAAACAAATGCTTCACTTAGAAGAAGAGCTCAGTGTGACCACACTTGCTGCCATGGAGGCACCATGAGAATATGTCCTAGGCATAATGTTTTCTTAGAAATAAAAAATGCTTATTTAACCGTTTTCCCTGTTGATTAAGGTGACTGTAAGGGAAGAGATGACTTATCAAAAACAAATAAGTAGAAGCATACTAGGTACTATTAAAATCCACACGAGAATATATATTGAAGTCTATCTTGACACTTGAATTTCCTGGTTATTGCTGCTCCTGTGAGGGGGTGGGCATAGATGTGCTACTCTAAAAGTTTACAGACATTAAAGGACGTATGGAAGTATAGGTCAACTGGAGGGGTCCGGTGCTAACCGGAATGTCTTGAGTATTTCCCCAAATTCCTGTCCTGAGCAGAGAAAGGATTTCAGGGCCAGCAGCCTGGATGGTGAGGGTGGAACTAACTCATACCCAGCTCTCTTGAGTTACAAGCCTGACCCTGGGTGGAGAGGTTAAAGCAGCTGGGAGCCTGGCAGCCCTGAGGTATCTCCAGTGGATGGATGAGTATTTATTACTAACATTTCCAGGTCTTCCTCACACAGGTTCATGAGTGTATGTGTGTGTTTAACTCCAAGTGGACAAAAAAAAAATCAAAGGATATTGTGCAGAGAGATGCAAGCAGGGGACATGGGTACACACCTCCCTCCACAGTGCTGGTGTGGACGGGACACCATCAGGAAAATCCAAGTCCCAACAGTGCCCATAAGAAGGACACTGCTGGGGACACAGGTGTGTTTGTGGTGTGACCCAGAGGTGGTGGTGGCAGAAGCCAGGTCTGATAGGCAGGAGGGAAATCACAGGTAGATTTAGTGTTTCTGGGGTGGGGGTTGTTGCCCTTTGTCCCTGGACAGTGACATCTGCCTTCTGACTTAGGGATGCTCCTCCTGTGCCCTGCTGTGCCTGGCATCTTAATCCCTGTGGTGAGTGTCACTTGGGATCTATTTGCTTCTAGTTGCCTGGAATCTGTAGCCAAGCTGCAGGAGTCCTGAAGACAGCGCTCCTGGAAGTAACAGCACAGTGCTACCCAGGGGAGCCCTCAGAGCGGGGCAGGGGTTTCCGTCCGACACCCACCTCCTGCACGTCCTGCAGGGGAGCCAGATCACATCTCTCTAAGCTCGGACTTACTTCTTTTTCACTAAGGTGAGGACCTTGACATCCTGAATTCCTAACTGAGGTTTCATCTCAGTGCGTTCATCTCAGTGTGGTGGGGACCTGGGTAAGAGGGTCTGAGCCCTTCTGAGTGACTTAAACAAGAGGCCAAGTCCTTGGTGGAAGTCACCTCATGGTTTCAGGCCGGGGGGGCGGGGGGATTGATCTGAAGGAGGGGGTTTAAGGACAGGTCCAAACTGCAGTGCACCATGTAGCAGCCTGACTCTTGGCACTAGGGACATGGCGAGGACATCTTCTGCCCTCGTAGTGGGAACAGAGGCATCCTCTGTCCTCCTCTAGAATCGTGATGCCACACGTGTGCACACTGAGCTTCCCCTCTGCATTTCCTGCCCTGTCCTCCCACTGAGTTGTTGGCATGGGCACTGCTGCCACACCTGAGTCCCTAACAGGAAGTGGGTGGCCAACAGGAAGTAAAGCTAGCACCAATGAACCATTTAGCAGTGGTGCATCACCCCTGGAGAGACCCCCAAAGTCCCCGCAGGTTGTTGGGGAGGGGCTGGGGGTCCCTGGAGGCCACTGGCCAGTGGTGGCCTTGGTGGAGTCCCAGCTCACCCACCCGTCAGGAGTCACATGGACCTGGACTCCTGCTTGGTGTGCTCTGGGGTTCTGCCCAGCACCCTGGGGTGGCCAAAGTGGGTCTACCTCTACCTGTGACCGTCACACAAATGCAAATCCTTGAGTTTGTCAAACCAGCAGTCCCTTCTTCTGTCTGTACGTAAAGGAGTAGGTGGGGACCATAAAGCTGGGGGCACACTCCTCTTTCTGGGAGTTGTTTGTTCCATAAGTGATGCTCTAAGGGTGCTGGGCTGTGTGCAACACTTAGCTGATACTTGTGGGCAGAAGGGAGGGTGAATGGCAGGTGCCACTCTGCGTATCTGTACTGGGCAGGTTAATTCATTAAAGGTAATTATTCTTTTTATCTAAGCAGGCAGTCATTCTATCCTGGCAATTTAATACAGCAGAATTTGATTCATTTATCAAATATTTACTTAAGAGAATTTTCACTGTCCAGTTGAGCTTTGCATGAATTAGCAGGAAGGGAATTCATTTGAGGTTGATTCTTCAACAGGAAAGTGATTATTCCCACAGGTCCAAGAGTGTATGCTCAGTGTCACCTGGGGTGGCTTTCGTGACCTTCACATTTGGGTCCACTTATGGTAAGGGACAGCAGAATGGCTGGATGTGACAGGTCCATATCAGGGCTAATCTGAAGAATAAGGGACCCACTTAGAAAAGCAAAGCTGGTTTAATTTTAGAAGCTAAACTTCTGGTTTGTTTGTTTCAACACTAGAGATTGAACCTAAGGCCTTAGCACTGAGCTATATCTGCATCCCTATTTTATTTTTTTATTTTGAGACAAGGTCTTGCTAAGTTGCTACCAATGTAGAAGATAGACTTTTACCAAAGAGGAATGTCTATTGAAATTCAGTGTATTTATCATTTTCTCCATATATAACAAATGGAATACATCCTTTTAAAACACTCCTCCAATTCATATATAAAATCCCATAAAGACCCACATTTCCTGGTTACTCAGCTTTTCTTCCCCATGCATTTTATGGATTCCAGCGGAGTTTTCTGTTAAGTACATATTTATTTGGCCCCATGTAAGACTCACAGCCGGCTCTGAGCTTCTCAGCTTCCTGAGCTGTCTTGTAACTGCCATGACCCTAAAGTCCCTTTCGTTTGTGTTTTGTCTGTCTGATTTTCCTCCTGGACGCTACTTGGCAGGTGCTGCTTCGTGACAGCAGCTGTGGTAGGGGTCGTGATGGCTCAGGGTGTCCGTGTCACACTGAGCTTTCTGTGACTGTGGGAGTTGGGACATGTATCATGGTCTGTCCACTTTGGGGAGGCTTGCTATGGGAAGAAAAGCAAGGTTTCTGTTCAATTCAGAAAACCCTCTTACACACAGCTAAGGTAAAACGACTGCCATTAATCTTTCACTTCCAAGACTCTGGGACCCTTAGTGGTGCAGGGACAGTTTCGCTGAACACGTAGGTGACTTCTCGGTCAGTGCTTGTGATGACAGACACATGGCGTAGGGCTGAGCAGGCAGCTGAGGCTCGAGGGGCTCCCACAACCCAGGAGAGGACACCTCACGGACCGGGGATACAGCCTTGCCCATCTTCATTTCTGGATGCTGGACATCACATTCTTTCCTGCTCCCAAAGCCTCAGGAAACCTTTCAGTGCAATAGGGATCTGGCACGACATTACCAATGTGAGATGACAGCCGGTGGCCATCTAGCAGTGTGACCAGAGTCTGCTGAAAACTAACCTGAACTTGTGCACAACAACATTTTTTTCTTTGCTTTCTCCACATCAAGCCCTGTTGGCTTGAATGCAAAGATAACATGGGTTCAGCTCTCTTTGTCACGGAGGACACATAGCACTTCTACTGTAAGAGTGCAGCAGGGCTGCTCAGTGTGCTTGGGAGACCATGCTGAGACCCCTGTTAACCTTTCCCTTCTGATTTATAGGGTCAGAGAGCTCCACATTGGGGACCCTTTCAATACTGTTCCTGAGAAAGATGGAGGTGCCTCATTGTGCCCCGACAGAGCTGTCTGCAGATGCTCCATCTGAAACCCTCTCAGAAGGTGCCCCGCAGGATACATGTTTGGCTCCTTCCCACCCACAGGACCTTCTCAGCTGCTAAAGGAGAAACTAAGGCAGGCCTTACCAGTGTGGCTCCTCTTGTGAACCATGAGCACATTGGGCCCGATGCAGATAATCCCACAGATATCACACTTGAGTTTCCCGTTAGGAAGTCGAATGCCTCCAAGTCCCGACAAAGCCGCGCTGCCTTGGTCCCTGTGAGAGCCATTCATTTTCTCTCCCGAGGCATCAAGCATTCGTAAATCCTCCGCACATTCTTCCCCATTCACTTCACAGCCACGCCCATTCTCTTCATCACTCTGAGTCTCTACTTTAACATTACTGGCTGAAAGAAACAATACAGGAGGCCACTCAATGTCATTGCAAAACAGAAGAAAAAATAAAAATACAACAGTAACAGAAGCAAAAATATGATCACATCAACGACGCTGAGAGCAGTGTACAGAATTCTTAGCAGCACCATGGGGAAGGGGGTCCCGATTTCATCTCTGGCTGCTGGGGCTGCACTGTGGCCCCACAGGGTCACCCAGGGGACAGGGACATTGGAAGTACCTGCAGCCCCCCACCCCAGAGCCCAGATAGGGGGCAGCATCTGGAGCTGCCTGACCACACTACCCAGAAGTTCCCACTTAGGGTCAGGATGGCCCAGCAAGCAGGAGAAAGGCTCCAGGTCCATGGCCTGGTGGAGCAGGGACAGCCACCTGGGGCTGAGTCCTGACCTCTTCCCCACCTGCGCCCTGGCACTGAGGAGAGTGTCGGATCACCCAGTCAGTCCCCTTCCCTGGGACATGTGAGCTCCCCGAGCACCCCCCTCCCCGCGAAGTCATCAAGTCTGCAAGCCTTTATAACACTCCCCTACTGGGTTTCACAGACATTAAACTTGGGACAAAACAACTCATGCTGTCCTCGGAGTTCTGATCACGAATCCCTTTGGGTTCTCGAAAGATCTTTCTGTTTCTCTGATCCTTGGTCATGCTGTTTCCTTTTCCTCTCCAGTGGCACCAGCCAATCCTGAGCCCTCTTCTATGTCTCCTGCTTGCTACAGCATTTGCCGGGGTTATGACTGAGAGATGGACAAGAGCTTCAAAGAGAAAGATGCGTGTGGGGTGGCGAGCTGCTTGGGTTAATGAAGCCGAGTGCCACCGTTGTCTTTGCTTCGTTGTTTAAGTCACGGAGGGTAATTATCTCACCGCGTATTTTTCTTCTCAGAGAAAATATGAGGTGCCTCTTTGTGTTCTTCTGAGATGCTGACATGAACCCAGCTCTGTGAGGACCAGAAGAAACTGCAGCTGCAGTGAAAGCCCTCGTTCCAACCACTGTTTTCACACAACCCAGTGTTTTACCAAGTAAAAAATCAATGAGGTCAGTGGCAACCAAGACTATGTAATTGCCTTTTTCTTTTTTTTGGCGGGGGCAGGGTCTGGCTATGTAGTTCAGGTTGCCCTTCATCTCATTATGTAGCCCAGGCTGGCCTCCCGCTGTGGCAGTCCTCCTGCCTCAGCTTCCTGAGTGCTGGATTACAGGTGTGCACCAAGACTATATAATTTCTGATCCCCAGTTCTCAAAGTCTGGTCCTCAGAGAAGCAGCCTCAGCATCACCTGAGAACAAGTCACACAAAGATTCCTGGGTTCTCCTGACCCCTCATACTTAGCCACTGGGGTGGGCCCAGCATTCCATGCTTGTCCTTTAGGTTCCCACCCTCCCCCCTGCCCCCCGTCCGGGGACTCCCAGGTGCACTCAGGACTGAAAACAGCTGCTCGGAATCTCTGAGCCGGGCTGTCGCCCTCCAAGGTGGTTTTACCCACTGAGTCCCCAGTTTGGAAGTTTACAGAAAAGCCGCTGGCTGCTAGCCCTGGTCCGCAGCCTCAGGTCCACTGTGTGGAAGCTCAGAGATCTTGGGCGAGTCACACCCGGATTCCCTCACCCATCAACGGGGTGCTGTTGTCAACCAGGGCAGCTGTGAGGACTGCAGGTGCTGGGTGATAGGTCCGCTCAGGACAGCAGCTCAATGGGCGGGAGAGCCCATCCGATGGGGTTGATGGAGCTTGCTCCCCCAGGCACACAGCACTGTGCCTGACTTTGGTGCCAGATCCCACAAGAGCTACAAGGATGTACCATTCATTTGGAGGTACAGAGGTTGAGCAGCTTGCTATGGGCACAGGGCTAGCAAGTGTCAGAGGTAAAGGCCACCAGGCTCCAGTGCTGATGTCCACACTGCTCTTGTGGTTTATATCTAGATATCTCCCTCCCCCAAGCCTCAAGCATTCATGGGTGGGACTTTTGGGAGGTGACTGGGTGATGGGGTGAGATCCTTGTCAGGAGATGAGTGCACGGAGGACTTTATAGGTGGCTGTGATGTTGGGAGGTGGAGCCTGGTTGGAGGAGGTGGTCACTGGGGCGTGGCCTGGAAGGTCCATTTCCCTCCTCCCTTGATCACTCAGCTTTCAGCCATTGTGCCATGAACTCTTTCTCCTCTGCCATGCTGCACTGCCTTGGAGCCAGCCAACCATGGACTGAAACCTCACAAACTGTGAGCCCAAGTAAACCTCTTTTCCCTTAAGTTGCACATGTTGGGAATTTTGTTCCAGGGATGAGAAAAGTAACCAAGATAACTACCAACCTTTTTCCATGAGCTTTTTGGAGAAAAGTCTTACAGGGAATGAAAAGAAATGACAAGAATGTGGGACACAGCCCCTATAGTAGACCTCAAGATCTGAAGATCAGTGGCTCAGAGCACTTTGCATTTCAGCGGCTTCCTGCTAGCATTTCCAGGCCACCAGGGACAAATGACCACATCCTCCTGACAAGGTCAGTGCAGGTCGCAAGCAGGGCAGGGGGAGGCTGCCACTCGGCCTACAGTGTTCCGTGACTGTGCAGCCCTGTAGAATCAGGATTCCCAGGATGTCCTATGCACCTTGTTGGGTGGAAGCAAATTCGCCTGTTCCTCACTGCTCCCTGGGGTTGCATCACCTTGCTGTGGTTGGATGCGTGTCCCCATGTGGCAAAAGCTCACTCACCAGGTGGCTATTGGGAAGGAGTGAGCCTGTGAGAGGCAGGGCCACACAGCAGGTCTCTGGGTCATTGGAGGGGGCTCTCGGAAGGGACAGTGGCCCTTGCGTTTCGGTCTCTCTGCCTCCTGGCTCATGATGACAGAGGTGCCCACAGACACGTTTCCCACCACTGCCACCCGGCGCCCCCCCTGGGAAACAGAACAATGGGGCCTGATCTTGGTCTGGTGCCTGTAGCACTATGAGCTAAATAAATTTGAATTCTATACAAACCAGCAAATCTCCAGATCTTACAGCAACAATAAGGGACTGAGTCAAACCTGCCCCAGAAACACAATAAGGCTACATCTGTGCTCTCCCCAACTTAGGAGTGATTTTCATTATCCATCTTGTGGCTTTTGAGAGTGAGACTGGGATATTCTAGTGTCCAGTGGAGTGGACTGGGGTGGATGTTCTACCATGAGGGCTAAGAGGCAGGGCTGCCAGAAGCAGGACAGTCAGGGTTCCTCAGGCTGGAAAGAGGATACCGTGCAGGACAGAGTCGGGGTGATCTCCTAGCTAGGATGTCCCCTGCTTGGCTCATCTGCTCCCTGAGAGGGAGTGAGCTAGACAGGGTCTCCCTGGCCATCCTGAGGATGCGTGTGCACACAGGGAACAGCCAGGGCTCTTTTGCAGAGATGAGATGGCAGTGGCCGTGTGGCACCCAGGGATGCTCTGTGGTGTGTGTCCTGAATGCCTGTGTGGGCTCTTCCTGGAGAGGAGCCAGGCTGCAGGGAACAGGGGTAGGGACCTGGGTCTGGCCACAGAGAGAAGTTCTGCCACCACATGCAGCTTGCATAAGGGGGAAGGTGCCGCATCAGGAAGGAAGCGATGAGGACTCTGGGGAAAATGTGCAATGGATGTTGCTGTCAACACCACCGATGTCCTCGTGCCAGGGGACCTGGGGTTGACCACTAATTTGACAAGGGTAACTGAAGGCAGGACTTTGTTATTATCGTATGTGATGGGGCTGCTCAGTGTGGTAAGAGAGCCAAAGAAAATGTGGACACCCAGATAGGATTTAGGGTAGACAAGCACAAGGGGAGAGGTGGAAGAAGAAATGTATATTTAAGAAATTTCATTTGACTGAGGTACAGCTCTTCTGGGTATCTTCCTAAAAGAGTTAAACACTTCATATTATAGTAATCCATGCATACCATGTTTATAGCAGCATGGTTCATAATAGCTAAATCTTGGAAGCAGCCTATATGCCCATCAACAGGTGAACCAATAAAGACTGTGGTATTTACACACAATGCTGTACTACTCTGCCATAAAAAGGATAAACTTGAGTCATTTGTAGGAAAATGGATGAAGTTTGAGACCATAATGCTAAGTGAAGTAAATAACTCACAAGCTTAAATATCATATAGTTTCTCTAATATGAGAGGCCCCAATATAAATAATTTAAAGAGCAAAATAAAGGAGAGATGACAGGAAATAGAGAGGTAGACTCTGTGGTGATGGAAGGTGGGTCTGGAGAAGGAAGAAGAGGGAAGGGTGAGACAGGGAGGGAGCAGACATGACCGAGATGCCATGTGTATGTAACCAGTTTTTCAGATGCATGTAATTATCACATATCCCAGAGCCACACTGATGAAAAAGAAGTCCATGACACAGATCAGCAGGGGCAGCAGTGGGATCTTCCACTGCAGGAGGGAGAAAGTGGAAGATGCTGCCTTCTAGGTTTCTAGGAGAAAAGGGATAGAGATCCCTAGACAACCGCACCTAAGGCCAAAGGACTGTAAAACATGAGAACATGAGAGAAGGTTGTGCATCTGTAAACGCGGTTCATGTTTTTATTGGAGTTCCAGGTCAGCTACCGAGAGTTAAGAGCTGGGCAATTGCGAGCGTGATGCCCATGCTGTGTCCTGAAAAGTCTTAAGAGAGGGAGCAGATGACTGCAGCCAGGGGACTGTGAGAAGCAGCAGTAATGACAACGCCGTCAGCAGGGGGCGCACCAAACTCAGCAGCCCATGGGCTCCCTCTGAATAGAGGGCAGGGGCCCTCATCTCACAGAGGACAAAGGCACCTGGGTGTGGGCTATGAAGAGGAGATGAGAGATTTCTGTTCACCTGAGGCTGTCCATCAAAGTGGTGTCTCTTCTCCGCCTGGAAGTGCTTAGTGGTGATGTTTCGAGCATTCTCCTGAATGTGGGGAAGAGACTTAAATATTTTCTAACCCCCTCCTACTGGTCTGCTTAGAGCACTGAGGAGCACAGGCAGGTGCTGGACTGAACTGATGAAATATAGAACATGAAACGGGGATCTGTGCATCCATTTCCTCCTCCTGACTGGGCTCCAGTGCCCTCCAAGCCCTCCCACTCACTGACTAAGAGAAAACGGGCAGAGGCCCAACCCTGTTATTTAACAACACAGTTTATACCTAGGGTAGACATTTTAAGGCCCTTATCAAAAACTGTTCCTTCCCAGTTGCTGTTTAAAATTGGAATAATTACAGTCTTATTGTTTGTTAGGTATGTTGCAGGTTTTCTATGTGATCAGTAACCCAAGAGTACTAAGAGACCCTCACTTGCATGGGGCACAGACTGGAAGATTCAGACAAGTTTAGAATGGGAGAATTGGGAGAATCCAAGAACCAGAGGCCAGCAGGAGCCAAGAGGCCTGGATTTGCTGCCAAGCATCATTTGCACTTGTGAATAATTAAACGTTTCTAATGCATAGGTATAATGCACCCTGGCGAGCCCCACTTCCAGATGGCTTATGCTTCCTCTTCATTTCCTTTTTAGAATCTGGCTTCATATTTACTGGAAAAGCAATTTGTTGGTACCTAGGTCACATTTTTTCCGTTGAAAACAGATTCTGAAATTGTCACTCCAGTATGAATTTGGACCACATGTGCTCAAAGTGTTCAGTATTTTAAATAAAAAATGGAAGACAAATACCCTTACAATACTAATGAGCAGTAAGTAAAACCAAATGGAATAAAACTATTTAAGATATATCTTGAAATTTACTATGGTAATTCAATGAAAATTTGAGATAGAGAATATATCTATTTCTATCTATCTATATGCTTTTATATTGCCTCTAAATAGATTTATGAAATGTTTTAAGCATTTTAAAGGTCAATAGAATCATTGATTATAACTTAATATATTTAAAGGGCAGGGTTTCTATTCTATGAGGATACATTATTAAAAATATTCTTATTTAATGTTTTTGGCCTTTAAATGGAATAAGTCAGAGAGAGAGAGGGAGGGAGGGAGGGAGGGAGAGAGGAGACTACCAAAAGACAGCCAAGAGGAAAAGCATATATATAAGAATGAATTGTAATCATGGGTCCATTTTCCTCAGGTATCTGGGGACACAAACCAGAGTAAAGATAGTAGAGGAGGTTAAAGAGGTTATGTTAATTTCAAGAAAGAAGAAAAGGGTGTCCAGGGACCTGGAGGATATTTCTCTATCAGGACCACCAGGGGGCAGTGTTGGCCCAGGACAGTTTGGTTGCTGTTAGGTGGGGACATCAAGATCAACCAGCCACTTGTGGGATGATATTTGTAATTTTTGGATACTGGGGGAAAGAGGGAGAGAAAGAGAGAGATACCTTATAAACACATGTGTATAAATAGAAAGTTGATCAAAATATAAATCATATCTCTTATAAAAGCACTCAGTATTGTCTGTGTTCAGTGCAGTGATTTTTGCATTTGAAGTTTTCACCAAAAGATGTGCTTGAACAGCACAGTACAACATGATTGGCCTAAATCTTTCTCAGATTCAATGAAAACAAGTCCTTAAATGTACTATCTTGCTCTTCAGTGCACTGGACCTTTGGAAAACATTTTGACAATGTGATCGTTCATCTTGAAATTAATGATTTCCATGTCCTAGCACCTTCATGTTTTATATATTCACATATGCACACACAATTTTACACACACACAAACATGTATGTATATACATGTACATGCATCACAGAAACATATCAAGCTGTTATTTTAAAGTCGAATCAAAGTATTAGTAGGAGATATTAATAGGAGAAAGATTTCCTTAAACTTTCATATCATAGAAAAGTAGTTAATCTAAATTATGAGCAAAAATATATTTAGATTGATAATGATAAGTTGTTTAGACACCAAATAGCTTTTTGATAACGAGGCAGTCAGAAACCTGTCTCTGTTACTGACACCTCTACATTTGAGCCCATCTCTCTGTTACCATCTTAAGAAGTTGGACTGGGGATGTACCTCTGTTGTAGAGTACAGGCCTAGTAAATGCAAGGCCCTAGGTCTGGTTCCTGGCACCACAAAATAAACCTACCGAAAAACAAAAAACACGCACAACCTGTTTTGTCATTGCTTTGTAATATTAGAGATTTTACTAATTCAGCTTCTAAAACTGAGACCCTAAGGGAGTTACCAATTTGTAGGGCTTTAATATTCAGTTCTCTGTTCACTTTTTAAAAAGAGTGTTCTCTAGTCTTTAAAATACTCCTTTAAGGGTGTTGCCCAAATCTGTTTGTCATTTATTAGCTTTCAATACCTAGAAAAGAAAAATGAAATGAACAACTGTGTTCGGTTTAACAGCTCTGACCAGACAAGGTCTCACCCTCCTGCCTGTGTGGGTGGCCAGGAGAGCCCTGCTAAGCACCAGCTGACCCAGATCCCTGGATGCCATGTTCCTGTTGTCAGTCCTGAGATTAACACTCCGGAGCAAGAGCGGGGGACTGTGTCCTTCTCTGCCCCACAGATAGTAAAACTCATCTTCCAAACGTGTTGGGTTCTTTTGATGGTGGCAGAAACGGTGGCCCTTTTATCACCACACTCAGTCAAAAGGAGACAGCAAGAACACAAGTGAGTAGCCCTTTCATTCATGCTCTTCCTCCTCCTCTGCCTACTGTTACCCTGCTTCATGCTCCTGACCATGCACCGCTCCCAACCATCTAAGTCTTCCTTTTGTACTCGCTGTACAGATGGAGTCTTAGGTGGTAGCGTTAATGATCAGAATGGTCAGCATTCAGCTTGTCTCATTTTTCCCAAGGGTAGAGGAAGGCACTGATGAGAGAACATGCAGTTCACAGTATTCACACGATGGGATGGGTATGAAACAAAGAAGCCTCTGTTTTCCAGAAGCAAAATGTATACTTACGAGAGAAAGCTTTGGGGATTAGTGCATGAAAGTCCCTAAAGCCATCAGCCCCATATGTAACTGCAATAAAAGAAGGCAAAAAAGAAAGCTGGGTTGTAATACCATTAAAGATATAGTAAGACCTTTACAGACAGCATCACATTAAGAAAATGTATTATTGCTCAAAACTGTTGGTTCACTACTCATTTGCTATTCTTGCCCTTAGTATGGGCCACAAAAAATAACCACTCAAATCAGGACTTTGATCCCCAAGAGTGTGGACTCAAGGGATTGCCAGGATGGTTAGGACCATGCTCTGTCAGGTGTTGCATCTTAGCGGGAGTGACCCCAAACATCTCAGAACTAGGAGGATGCTTCCAGCTGTGCCAGCCCAGATCTCAGCCTGGTGATGGCATCTCATGAGAGGGCACAGACTTCCACGAAAGCAGTGTGTGTGTTTCATGGTGGACTGCTTCACACACGTTCTTTATGCAGAGCATGTTCATAGAAAGTTTTAAAAAAATTTTTTTCATGTGACATATTGGGCAGGGAAAAGCTGTTGTTTTCCCCTGCCTCCAAAAACAGCTACTGTGTCTCTGGGTATTCCTTGGTAGCTGCTTGCTTAAGGGATGTCACCACCCCAAACCTGAATGTTCCACAGGACAGAGTTGCCAGTGTTTTCCTATTATTTAAGGAAATTGGCAGATTCTGCATGCACACACATGTGTGTACCCACATATACATGCTTTTCCCTCCAAGAGTTTCATCTCAGTGACATCAGGCATGTGCACAAAAGAGCTGCTAAATTAAACTTGTTGGGTGAACTACCTCATTTGCAGAGTAAAGACTGAAGTGAAAAAATACCTGTTTATCAAACTTTACTGAAACCAGTGTCCTCCAGACTGATCAGACCACAGGACCTCTCTCATTTCCCCATGAAAAGTTAACAAAACACTGGATAGTGGGTGAACATAGTTGAGAAGAACCTGCTTTTTGGACTTATTGGCTTATTTCCTAAAATCCTTTACATTTCATCTATTCTTTCTGCTGATGACCCTAATCTTGTGGATAAAGTCAGCGCCATGCAATCCTGTCAGACTAGAGATGCATCTGTGTTATGGTCCAGAGCCAGCCAGTGGTGCAACACCAGCTGTATCGGCTTGGCTCTTGCTGTCTGTTTTATAGAGTGTGTAGTATGGTGTGGTGTATAAAAGTGCATGGCATGTATGCTTTTCCACCTGTGTTGTACTGTGCCATGGAGGAATCCAGCATCTCAGATGATGAGAGAAAAGGCTGTGTGTTTTATTAAAGTCTCTGACCTCGTTAGGATGGGGCATGACACGAGGTGAAACAGCGTAGAACTCTGGTTCAGTGACAGACAAGTGAGCTCCTGGAAGTGTGTACCTGAGAGCCAGTGTGGTGAGCGACAGCGACCTTCCTACCTCACCCCTGCAGCTCTGTAACCAGAGCTCAGCACCTGCACTGTGATGCACAGGAATACAACAGAGGGAAAGCTTACTGGTAAACTGAGGAACAGGAGTGAAGAGAGCAGAATGGCATACAACTTGTTTCACCATTAGAAAGTGTAGACTTGTCCTGTGGGGGTCATGCAAGTGTAAGCCCAGAAATACAGTAACTTTGCCAGAATGCTCTCCACTGTGTCCATTGGCACTGATATAAAGAATATGACTGCACTGCTAGACATTAAATGCTAATCACAGGTTAAGGGGCCAGTTCTTTGACTAGTGTCATTCAAATTAGCCTAAGTTTTACCCTAAATATTTGGTTCCCTAAAAATGAGAGTTAAAGAAAACAGAATATAGCTGCAGCTCTCAAGTTGTCATGAAAAAAACTGTGGTGTGTGTGCCATCCACACCCACATGATCTCTGAGTTCAGGAACGGAAGTGTGTGCGACACTGTCATGTACGTGGAAGCCGAGTCCACTGTGACAACCACTTACCAGAAGCGTCACAAAGGCGAGGTCTGCACAAAACCTTGAAACCTTACCACTGCTCCAGGAGGCTGGCACTGCCCTGGAGGGCTCCAGAGAAGTTTTGGAATTTGCCATGTTGGGGGACACTATTTACATATGCAAATGAAGGCCCTAGCTCATGAGTATATGACAGTCAACACCCAAACCCACACTATCCTGGCAGTGGTCCCTGGATGGGGAGGCGTGGTGCAAGCAGAGTCTGTGATGGTGGAGAGGTCACTGCAGCTGTGCACACACATAAGTGTGCAACACATGCACACACTCACCTGTGCAAGGGCACACAGGGTAGCAGTGCACTTAACAAGTCTCCAACAGCCCCACTCCTGAACTACAGCCTCTGGTAGGGTCCTCCCTGGGCTCCCCCTCAGCCTGGTCTTCATGTTTTAGCAAACTGCACCCCAACCTTTAAGCCACCGTTTTATGAAAGGTGCAGAAGACAAAAATGTGCTACATTTGCCCCCAAGTCTCCATTTTGCAAAATACATCCTTCTTATCAAGAGCAAACCGAACTCTGGCAGGAATTTCTATTCCCCAAAGTCTCATGGAATCCTCTACAAAAACACCCTGAAGGCCCGGGGATTTAGCTCAGTGGTTTCGCCGCCTGCTGCGCAAGCGCAAGGACACGAGTTCAATCCCCGGTACCCCCCCCCAAAAAAAATTCTAACAAAAACACCCCGGATTCTTCATCCTATGCAAATGGATGAACATTACGGAGAAATGACAGCACAGCCACAAACCCCACTTTTTGGCTATGCACGTCATTACAGACGTCTCCTCCTACAGACTTGAGATTGCTCCAAATGAGAGGGAGAAAATCCACTTCATTTTCAAGTCTAAGGGGATGGTGACAATTTTCTAGGAAGGGTAAATCATTAGATTTGTACTTGGGAAAACCTAGAAACACCAGCTTGCAGTTTGACATTTATGTGTAATATGTGCATCATGTGTACCTGTTGACCACAGTCAGTTGTAAGTTATCAACCCATTGCAACTGTGGTTTACAGTGACTTGACCATGTCTACACATCTAGCAATAACCAGAAGGGCAGTTTGAGCCTGGGATGAGCCAGCAAGAAAGTTACAAGACAGGCAGCAGAGCATTGTCAGAGATGAGGACGGCCCCCTTGTAGGACACCTGGGCCATGTCTTGAACAGGGGACAAAGCCAGGTGCTATTAAAATCCCTCTACATCATGACATTGCCCGGCTAGATACATTGGTTCTTAAACTGTTTTATCAGTGAGAGGATAGGGATTTTCTCCTGGGAAGGGACAGCAGGCTCCCTGGGGATGCATGAAAGGTATTTCTGCTCCATCCTGACAGGAGAAGCAGCAAAAATACAAACAAGTTCAATGCCGGGTCTCTGGACACAGAGCCAAGGGTGTTGGTGAGGTCGTACACCAAACCGAGGGACTTCTAAGCTGCCCCTCTTACACTCACCCAGTGACTGCACTCACTTCCCCACCCTGCCAGCTCCTGTCCAGCCTCCAGGGTCCTGCTGCACAGGCTCTGTCCCCTACAAAGCCCTGGGTCCCACATGGTCCCCACCATGTGCAAAAGACAGACACGGGGGGCGAGCAGGACTGTGCCCAGAGCCCCATGGCAGGAGAGCTGGGCTCCCTCCCACTGCTCTACAGACCTGAGATCCCCTCCCAACTCGCACTCCTTCCTAGCCTGCTGCCTGCACCCTGTGCTAACGGGGCGACCCAGATGCCATCTGTTCTGACCCATGTGGGGCTCACTGCCACCCTCCTCCCATTAGCCCACCCCCTGTCTGGTCAGGTCCCACCCTGGCATGTCCACAGACACCTCTGCCTGCCGGGCTTCCAGCCCACCATGGGGACATCCGGTCCGAGTGGTCACGGGCTCTTGCCTTCAGATTCCTGTGCCCAGCTATCCTGCCTGTTGGACAAGGCTTTGAGCCTCAACTCTGCTGCGGTGAGGTTGCATGGAACTTCTGGATTTGCCACTGGTCTGCACCATTACGAGGAGCAAGAGTCATCCAGCCCTGGGTCACCATCATCGTCCCTCTGTGATGGCAGGGCTCCCAGCAGGCAGTGCTGATCAGGGAAGTAGGGGCATGAGCCCCGGGAGAAAATGCTAAAAGCAAGCAGGCAACACAAAATACCTCCCAAACTAACCCCTTTGTAAGTACAAGGGGTAATCAAAAGATACGGTGGATGTTTAAATTAGAAAAGTTACTACAGTAAAAGACACACTGCCACTAACCCCCCTAAAAATACCCTTCCTGGCTTCTAACACACTTATCCCATTGTCTTTTCCACTTTCTGAAGCAGCTCTGGAGTCCTCTTTCCTGGGGGTCTTTTCAAGGTGGGATCAAAGATACGGTGAATGCTGTTGCATATCCCACAGATATGCAGGCTGATAAAAACATGGCACTGTGTCCACCTTACTCATGGGATCTGGCACTGTGACTTCTGATTCTTCTCCAAAGTCAAAATGACCATGAAAGGGAAACATTTTCAATCAATTCAGGACATTGTGGCAGCCAGGATGCCATAACTAAAGACCCTCAGGAAAGAGGGCTCCAGAGCTGCTGCAGGAAGTGGCGAGGACTATGGGATGTGTGTGTCCGAAATGAGGGGGAGGACTGTGAGGGGGACTCATGGCAGTGTGTCTTGTACTGTGATCCAGTTTGGAAATTTAAACTTTCACTGTATGTTTTGATCTCACCTTGACCTCGTAACTCCCATCTGGCGGGACACATGGTTATTTTATAGCTAAGCCTCTGCTGAGTGCCGTCTGGATCCTCGAGTCTCACTCCCCTGGCCCAGCTCCTGTTTCCCACCCTGGGATGAGAGACCCCACCATGCTCCCTGCTCAGACACCTCGTCAGAAATGGGACCTCAGTGACCACAGCCCCACTGTGTCCACTGGAGCCTTTGAGGGATGACACTCGGGGCTGGATGGCAGTGTGGTCCCCAGCCTCTCCCCGGCTCAGACAGAGGCCACGGCCGGCTGGCCCAGGGTCCTCTGCTTCCTGAGGCCCAGGAAGGACCAGGCACGCGACATAGGCTGCTGGAGTAACAGGCTTCTCGCTACTTCCAGATGATAGCAGTAATAGCTAG